CATGTTTTAACATTGTGTTTATTATTTTGGTTGATTATCAATTCACTGCTACTTTCTTAATAAAAATTTTCCATTAAAACATGCATTAAATGCATTAGTGAGGGCTAAACCTTATCACTGTAAACATGATACGAATACATTTGATAATATCAATTCATTAATGTAAATATTTTCTACATTAAATTTTTTAATTACAATTAAGCAATGAAAAAGCAAGCAATATATTAAGTATTAGTTTACAACTATTTAATTAACCAGAATATGTTTTATCATTTTAGTCAGGGTCAATCTACAACTTTGCAAATAATGGATGTTTACCATTAATGGCACAGAATTTGGTTTTTATTTAAATAAAAGATTAAATTTAACACAAGTCTGGACACAATTGTCTATTTATTCATAGCGTTATTATTTCAATAATATTACGGTATTATAAGTAAAGACATTATTGTAAGAAAAATATGAATTTCATCGCACATGAGAGACATATGAAAGTCTAGACAATTATATTTTTGAATTAACGGTCACTTTGTTATGTTTAATATCAAATGTTTTAAGAACATTAGATTTAATACAAGCATCCTTACAAAACATTTTAAAACAATCATTATAACTAGGGTTGGAAATACACAAAACTTGTATTACACTTAATAACAGATTCCGATCGCTTCATTATGCGAACGGTTGGGTCATTTGACAAACAACGATATGACATGTAGAATTAATACATTTTAAAATAAATGCATTAAAATTGCTTAATATTTGTTTTTAAAATATTAATTTTTCCCCATAATAAGTAAAAATACTTGTATAATACAAGGATTTTTGTATTTTGCCAACCCTAATTATAACAAAAAATATGGATTTTGAAAATAACTTGGATTCGCACTGATTCTCAGTATTTATGCAAAAATAATATTGAATAGCATTTCACAATAGAAAGTAAATTCTGGTTAAACTTTTCCAAACAATAGTGTATTGTTATTAATATCATTACATTTTTGTCTTGTTTTCACAATAATAACTGCAATATAATGTAAGACAAATTATCTGACATTTAACTGTTATTTATAGTGTTATTCGTGAATAACATTTTAGATGACATTTGATTGTATAGCAAATATGTAACACAAATGTCATTAACTCATTAAATTATTTACTAAATAAGTGAATACAATTCCGTACAGAATATAAATTGCTTATCAATTTTGATAGTAATTCTAAAAATATTAATTTCTTTCAAACACTTTTATATCCATAAGAAAATATATTAAAACATTTTATTTTACATTTTATCTTTCAAGCTTTAAAAAGTACATCGAATAACATTTAAATCTTTCAAAAATAAAATACTTAAAAAAGTATTTTCATGTATAAAATTGCTATAAATTTTCCTTTGATTCAAAGTGTAATACTATTTAAAAATATTTTTAATGCAAATTTTGTTAAAAGCTAATGTCAGGAGATTTTGATCCAATTTTAACTTATGATTCAAAGAATTTGTACCGGTAAAAATAATAATCCAGCTCCATATAGTTTATTAATAAAAATAATCTATGTAAAATAAATGTAAAGTTAGAGAGATTACTTAATAAATTTTTTAAAGTATAAATTTTTTATATGAGACTTAACTATTTTAGTAAATAATGCCTAAAAATATATATAAAATTTTCAGATTGAAATACTTTTCTTATTTATACATCAAATACAATAACGAAATTGATTTTCTTATCAAATTCCTAACATATTTTGGAAATTTTTTTCATTAAAAATGTTTTAAACCTATATTTTGGAAATATTCTACATTTGAAGACAAGTGATAACACGATTGGAAATGAGTTCATGGATTAAACGACTAATTGAGTGATTGGTTTGACATTAAAAGTGATGGCTTTAAGACTCAATTATATGGCAAATAAAGTGGACGTGCTTTGGGTCTCGTGTTTGACACCACTCTATGTCACACATATGTTGTAACGTAAAATCAAATCATGTTATCGTTAAATAAATCACAACTTATCATGTTTTACAAATTGATATACAAAGTAATTTTTATATTCTCTATTTATTATAATTAATATTTATAATATTTCAGATCTTATGGACAATAATATGACAAACTATTAAACTATAATTTCATAAATATAGTAGAGATAACATAAATATTGATTATAATAGTATTTGTTATAAATGATCAGCAAATTGTTTACAAATAACAAAATAAAAAATTCTTTTATTTCATTTTAATAAATGATTTCATTTCGTAAATAAGATTTTTTCTAACAATAAAAAACAAAAATTTTCATAAAAACCTGTGATTGAATAAAAAAAAGTAAATCGAGTCGTGAAATGGAAAAATGATTGAATATTACATATCTATACCGGTTAGGGTTGACAAAATACAAAGTTTTTTTTGTAGCTTTGTATTATACAATGCAATAAATATTATAATACAAAAATCCTTGTATTATACAAGTATTTTTACTTACTATAGGGACAAAATTAGCATATTTTAAAAACAAAATGATCCAATTTTAATACATTTATCTCATTAACTATACATGTTATAGCATTTTAATCATTATTTGTTTTACATTTGACCATTGATTCAATTATTTTTAGACAAAAATTGCTGTATTTGTAAAATAGTGCCAAACAATTGATTTTGGTTTAGATTTACTAACTTTAAAACAATAATTATTTCAAATTAAATAAGTACATTTTTAATACAAAACAATTTATAATGTCCTGTGAGGCGTTTAAAAAGTTTGACAAAGTGGTGTTGAAAATTTTTGTATTATACAAAAAAAACAAAAAATCTTGCTTTGTATTATGAATAGTACGAGGAATAATACAATTTTATGATACAAGCTTTTAATATTACCAACCTTAATACCGGTACATGTATAATATCTAAATATAAGTTACATATTCTTGTAAAAGTCTCGAAGGACTTGATCTATAATATACTATTACTATTACTACTAGCGGATTCTATATATCCATTAAATATATTTCTTATTTAATAGACGTTTGAATTCCAAATGTAATGAATAGTAAAGAAAAGATTCTTCAGTCATATGTCTTCTGAGGAATAGGTCTTATTTTTAGACAAAATGTATTCATTATAAAAACAAAAAGTTATAACATTTTCTTGACTCACATTATATTAAACTATAATTCAATTTAAATTAATTCAAATCAATAGCAAATGTTTGTATTATTTATACTTTAGATTTAATAAAACTTTTACAATCATTTTAAAACTCAATTATTGTTTTTGAACCAATATTTTCTAATAAATATTTTAGAAATTTTTATAATTATTAAATTAAAAATTAACTAAATTTTTAATAAAAGTATACTTAAAATTGAAAATATAGTACCAATTATTGTAAATTCAATGTTGCAAACAATTAAATATATTGCACAACACATCTGCTGACAGTTAAAAGTTATAATTTATTTGTCCGTTAATTAAAAATAATAAAATTTAACAAAACAATATACAAATATGTATATCTCAAGTGATGAGCAATTTTAGGTCAAATTGTCAATTAATTATATAATTTACAAATTATTTCATCTTATGGCACATAATGGCATATTCTCTCTCTCTCTCTCTCTCTCTCTCTCTCTCTCTCAACATTATATAAAACAAGTAAAATCATATAAACTCTAATTTAAACATCTTTTTTATCATCATTTAATTGGCTCGAAGTCTTCATAATCAAGAGTCCAATGACTATAAGAGTGGATCCGATCCACCAAATGGTCGACAAGACCTCTGAGAAAAATACTGATCCGTAAAATGCCTTCAAATGTATGGAAAATAAATGAAGTGTTAAATGAAGTGATAATTAATAGTTAAAAGTTATTTACAGTGAGAAAAAAGTTAGTGGAAGTGTTGACAACAATCACATGCAATGAATTGGTGTACTCTTTGAGTGCTTTCGTGAATTGAGTCCACATTAAGAGGTTTGTGATAATCATCGCCACAAACATCACCGCTTGGAATGAGCGCAACATCTATTCAATGCAAACCATATCTCAATTAAATTACTCTTTTTGGCGGACAATCCGTGTCTTAATTGACGTACGAGTGATGTGTCCGAAGAGTGGCACCAATTGTTGCCATCGTTGAAGACACCAATCAATTGATACCAAGCGTTGAAGAGATGGCAACAAATGGATGGACTCATCGCTAGTTTGCCGAACACAGAGGCCGTCGCCGCCAACGCTCCAGAAGTGACCGACAGATACAGCCCTCGCGATATGACAGCCATTAGTACCGGTCAACTGATCCCAAGACCTAACCGTTACCACCGATTATCTCACAATCAGTACAATTGTGTGAATCAATTGGTTTTTTACAACTCATTCACAATAACCTAATGTGTAATGAAATTCATTCATAAAAACAGTTGACTAACAGTTGACACAATGTTTTGAACGTTTAAAGGGATGTGAGAATGGAATGCACTGATTGGCCGAGCGATGAGATAGTGGGAGCGTTTGGGCCAATCACAGGCCATTTGAAGGCATTTCAAACGGTTTGCCCAACGCTTGCATCAAAATTGACTGACTTTTTGAGAGAAAGTATTGTTTGAAACGATTTGTGAATTGACTCTCACTTTACGATTCACTCATTCATCCATCCATTTTGTAATTGTCTTCACATCACTATTAACTGATCCGATGGACGACTACGAAGAGCTCGACTCATTCACTGAGGTTTGTGTGCTTTTGACACTTGTTTTGCCACTCATTTGCTGATCTAATGCCGACATTAATGTCTTGTATTGTCTCACAATTGAAACATTTTTAGTCACTTATCCAACGAAACCGCGAACGACAGGCACTTCTTGAGACCAGTTTTCATACGAGTGACCACTTGTCAGACGAGACACAGAGTGACGGGTTGTCCGACTCGACCACTGCTGACCAGTCCTTGGATTTAGACACAGATTTGGTGGGTTTTAACTACGGATTAAACTAGGGAGTAAACTGTGGTTTACACTGGGGTTAACACCGGTTTAGCCACTGGCGAAACTGCTTACTGTTGTACTCTTTGTAACTCAGGTTGCTCAGCACAGGCCGCCCCAACACATCGACCGATCGATTGAAGGAAAGTTTGGCCAAAATGAGTGGCAGTGAGCGAAGAGTGCCATTGAATCAAAGGCTTAACTCAATCGCGCGATCCTATAATTCAGAGGACACCGAAAATATGGGTTTTATGGACGACGAGGACAACGACGACAATAACGCGCCGCCCGTCAGAAGTCCCGTCAAAACAATGAGACAAACAGTGAATGGTGTCAACGATTCGCCGCCGAAGAAGCGTCTTCTTCTCAACGAACGTCTCAATCAAATCGCCAGATGTTATGATTCGGCCGATGATTACGGCAGCAGCGGATCCGCCACTAAAGCCGTGTCTAAGACTGAGACCAAACTGAAGACCAACTCGTCTCCGAGTAAATATCAATTGAAGTCTTCGCCTAAGAAATCAATTGTTGAGACGTTTGCGAAGAGAGACAGCAAAACAGATTCAACTGAAAAGAAGACTCCAATCAATCGCTCGCCGGTTAAGAAGATATCAAACGAGGGTTTAGTCCAGAGCTCTGATATCAGAGAAACACCGAAATTATCTCCCGTTAAGCAAATGGTTGCCAACAATATAAACGAGAAACTAATGAATTTGGGTTTCCATAAAACAAACACTACTCCTAAAAGCCTAAACTGTTCGCCAGAAAAACTGATCTACAATTCAAACGACAACAAAAGAGCGGTTCCAGTAGTGAACGCCTCGTCCAATGTGTCGGCCGTTCGCAAACAATTTGAACAAAAGAGCGAACAAAAGCCCGAAACCGCAAAACCGGAGACTTTGTCACTGAAAGCGAAAAGAGATTTGTTTGAAAAGGCCATCGAAGAGGAAAACGAGGCCAAAAGCAAACAATACTCGGGCCGTAAACGTAACGCACCGGTGATTAGCGGCGAAGCGAGTGTTTCCAAAGCAGTTAATGAAAAAGTTGTTAAACCGAAAAGTCCAACAAAATCTGATCCCAAAACTCCTTCACAGCAGAAGAGTAGCGAAAAGTCGGACGAAAACACAAATGTATCGAATAATATACATTAGTCTGTTGTTGAAGACCTTCTCTTTGAGAAGCCAAGCCTCTGGTGCTGACGGTTGCGTATGTTCTTTCTCGAGCTTTCAGCAGTTGTTCTTGAGCTTGATGACTTCGCAGGCTAATTTCGGTTCCAATCCGTCGAACAGAGAACCGATGATCTCGTAGTGGTTAACGAAGAACCCGAAGAAGACATGCCGACCAACGAGTCATTAGTGGACGACGAAACCGCTCAGCAGACAGTTTGCGATGCTTTTCAGGAGATTGAGGACTACACTAGCGATCATTCAGACGATGACATTAGTTATGGTATTAATACGCGTAAAAGTGATCCAAAACTGATGATCGATAAGAATGTGGACATTGAGTACGAAAGTCCGTCGAAGAAGAATCGATTGTATCCGCAGTTAATGATTGAAGAAGAGGACGAACTCTGTCCACAGGCCTACACTTACGATACCTATGAAGAGTCGACTCCACCGGTAAAACCTCCCCGCCAAATGCTACTCGGCGTTGGCAGCTGTAGCTGCAGTTGGGGAAACGCCTGTTATTCAAAGATAGCCTCTCTTGTTTCGCGATTGTGTTGCGGAAGCCACCGCTGTCAACAGGACTTCCTATTTCACTAGGATAAGTCCAATAAATTTGATTTAAATGAAAGGAATCGTAAGATTCAGAAGCGAATCGATCGCTTGAAACTAGAAGTCGAAGAACAGAATCAGATCGCGGGTCAGGCGAGTCAAGCGCTTAATCTATGTCTTGAGAGCATTGAGTTTAAAGGATCGGAACAACACGTCGAAGCGGAGAAAGTGCTTCTGGTCTGCGGTAAGTCTTTAATATAGAATTTCATTACTATTTGATAATTAAATGATTTGTTTAATTATAGGACAAAAACGGATTGCGTTTCTTAATGAGATCCAAAAACTGAAGAGCAAAATGAATGAAACAACTTTGGAAAAGGAGTCGACCAAAGGTTCCCTCACTCTCACCAATCTTAGAGTCCCTCTGAAGGCCGAATTTCTGGTGGCGCGCGCTAAGCAAACCGGTAGGTTTTCTGTCAATGAATTAATTGTACAATTAATTACATATAATTGTTGATCAGTTCCAGAAGTACATCACTTTATCTGCATTGTCTACAATGGGGCCAATGTTTTCGTCACAAATGTATTGAATACCGACAAAGACCTCAAAAACGGTTCTTTAGATTTTGAGTTTGGCGTCTGTTTGCCTGAACTGAACAGTGATTTTTCAGTCGTTATCCACATCTATGACTTGATTACAATGAAGACACAGATCAAGAAGACCCCGAAGAAGCACAAGTCGACAATGAAGTCGCCGAGTGTTCGCAGTCCCGGCGGACCCAACGCTGTGCTCAGCACTAGTTTCCAATTGAACGGCATTTTCAATATAAAGATCTCTAATTATTATAAGAAATCGTTTAAATTAGAAAACTTTTCGTTCAATTCTCCGCTCGAAGGCGTCATTAATATGAAGACTGAACTAACGGTTGAACACAACTACTATAAGGAGGGCTTTTTCGACGTTCGCGACGCCTCTGGCTTTTGGAACCTTCGATGGGTTGTCCTTAAAGGCCATCGATTGGGATTCTGGCGGTTCCCCGAAGACGTGGCCTCCAAGTCAGCGCTCGGCTCTATAAACCTCAAGGAATGTATTAATCCCATTGTAGGAGTCGTTCGCCAGACCTCAATGCGTCCCAACTCTATCGCACTGATAACCGTTGCGAACGCTCCCAAAGAACTCTTCACGAAAGGCGGATCCATTCCTCGAAGTCGTCCCATAAAGTAAGTGTTATTACTTTTAAATTATTTAACGTTTATTTCAATGAATTGATTGTTTTGCAGACATTTGATGAGCGCTGAGAATAAGGAGGAGAGCCAAGAGTGGGCCCAACATATCAGCCGCGCTCTCAATGGGATCCGTATTTGGAACTCAGATACAGTAAAACCCTATCGTATCGAAGAGTTTGAAAAACTTCTCATTGCTTTGGATTAAATTTTTATCATATTTTATTTACTTCTTATATGTATTTTACTTTAATGTCTTAATCCTATAATATTTCACACAATTTATATGTTTTTATTATTTTTACTGCAATTGATTATTATATAAACATTTTTTATAAATAATTATATCCAAAAACTGTATATTTTTAAAGCGTTATAAAAAGTATTTGCATTGAAAGGTATTGACATGTATTGTGCGAATCACGTGATCAACACATGTGTCGCCAAATAAAAACATTTCACTGAATGTACAAAAAATCAATTTAATTAATAAAATGTGCGATAATTTGGATAATTATCCCAAAAGTGACACCATTTACAAGAAATTTCTCGATAAACTAAAAAGGTTTGTATGAATGAGACAATTAAGCGTCCAATTGATGCCATTTGTGTCCATAAAACAGCCAAAACGGATCCATTAAATGCAAGAAGTGTTTGGTTAACAATGGATTCGTTTTACTGCAACGAAAGGATGTGTTTTGCGGGGACTGTCTGTCAGACTATTGCAGTCATAAGTTTCGGTCAACAATCGGCAAATCAAAGGCCATTCATAGCGGAGAGCGAGTGCTCATCGCCTTCTCGGGAGGCGTTAACTCTTCAGCGATGGTCCGTATGATTACTGATGGCTTAAAGGAAGTGCAGCACAAGAAGTTGAGATTTGTTCCCTCTCTCGTTCATATCGATGGTAACCATTGTTTACATTAATCCCATATTTATTGCATAAAATTGGTAAATATTGTCTCAATTAATAGAAAGCATTTTAAGTGATGAACCGATTGAACGAAACGAATCGATAATCAAAGAGATTAGAGATCTTATGTTAGACACCAAATGGCAGTGTTTTGTGTCTTCACTACACATGTCTTATCGCGAAAATGACACCAATTTTTATACCGATTTAATCCAACAATCAGTCGATAGTCAGTCAGACAATGATTGCCGGAAAGCATTCATGGATTCATTTTCAGGCATAAAGTCTTTGACTTCGAAACAAGAATTTGTTAAAAGAATGCGGTATTTATTGCATGAGATAATTGTCGACCGAATGAATCAAATTTAATCCTAATTATGTTTCAAACATTAGTAATCGACTCATTGCTGACATCGCATACACCGAGAAGTTTGATAAGATATTCTTCGCCAACAATTCAACTGATTTAGCCATCAATTTGATGAGTGATGTGTCGGTCGGGAAAGGCATTCAATTGCAATCGGAAGCGGTATTTCAGTTGATATACAAATGCACTCATTCTGTGATATCTTATGTAATATTTACTCAAAAAGGCTTTTATTGACGAAAGAAATGAAACCCCAATTCTGAGACCAATGAGAGAATTGACTGCAAAAGAGATCACGTTTTATGTCGTTTACCAAAAGCTTCATTTCGTTGTGACTAAGAATTTGGCGACAAATACTTCACTCAAGTCTAGTATTCAACGAATGACTGAAACTTTTCTCAATGGATTGCAATCAGAATTTCCGGCAACTCTTTTCACAATCATTAAAACGGGCGACAAATTGAAAGTTTCTGACTCTCAAAGTCATTACAAATGCATTGTTTGTAAAGTAAGTCATAAATATTATTTAATGCAAACTTTAGATAAACTTATAAATAATGATAAATTAAATCTCAAACTAGACTTCAATCGACACAACAGATCGTCCAAAATGTTCAGCACTTGAATCGTTGCGTTTGACACAAAACCTATCAAATAATTCAAACTATGATATCATTGAAGAGTCTAATAATAGTGCAAATAATGCACACCTTTGCTATGGTTGTAGTCTTATAGCCAATGAAATGACTTCAATAGAGAATAAATTTCCTAAACTCTTACTTAAAAAAGTTAACAAAAAGTCAATTCAAGAGTTTCTGATCGATCAGAACGACGAGAACCACTGATTAGTGTCTTTCGACTCTTTCATTCAAATTGTTTTTTACTTCAGTTTTATATTTGAAAATTTCTTGTAATAAAAGACATTGAATTGAATTTACTTTACGATTCACTCATTCATTCATCCATTTTGTAATTGTCTTCACATCACTATTAACTGATCCGATGGACGATTACGAAGAGCTCGACTCATTCACTGAGGTTTGTCCGCTTTTGACACTTGTTTTACCACTCATTTGTTGATCTAATGCCGACATTAATGTCTTGTATTGTCTCAAAATTAACACATATTTTTAATCACTTATCCAACGAAACCGCGAACGACAGGCACTTCTTGAGACCAGTTTTCATACGAGTGACCACTTGTCAGACGGGGCACAGAGTGACGGGTTGTCCGACTCGGCCACTGCTGACCAGTCCTTGGATTTAGACTCAGATTTGGTCCCAAAATTGATGCCACAATTGACACCAAATGTGACCCCAATTGTGGCCAAATCGGTGACCGCTTTGACGAATGACAACATGAGAAACATTGCGTCCAACGAGTCGTGTCCGGCGGCCAACACTTCGGCCGATCGATTGGTGGATAGTTTGGTCAAAATGAGTGGCAGTGAACGAAGAGTTTTGCTGAACGGTATAGGCTTTAACCGGAACGACGAGAACAACGGCGGGGCTCTCGTTAATCCCGTTGTAGCGATGAGACAAACAGTGAATGGTGTCAACGATACGCCGCCGAAGAAGCGTCTTCTTCTCAACGATAAAAGAGCGGTTCCAGTAGTGAACGCCTCGCCCAATGTGTCGGCCGTTCGCAAACAATTTCGGAGCGGACAAAAGCCCGAAACCGCAAAACCGGAGACTTTGTCAGTGAAAAAGAAGAGAGAGTTATATGAAAAGGCCATCGAAGAGGAAAACGAGGCTAAAAGCAAACAATACTCGGGCCGTAAACGTAACGCACCGGTGATGAGCGGCGAACCAAACGTGAGACAACTTCCGGGAGTGAAACTCTTCGGTTTGGAGACAACGACTGGCAACTCATACAAGAAAGAGCCCGAAAGTCGTCAACAAGAACTCGAACTACTGAAGCGTCCGATTAAAGCGAACCAATCTGTCGAACAGAGAACCGATGATCTCGTAGTGGTTAACGAAGAATCCGAGGAAGACTTCGCGACGAACGAGTCATTAGTGGACGACGAAACGGCTCAGCAGACAGTTCAGCAACATATCGATAATTTGTATCAAAAGATCGACGAACAGATTCAGGCCGCGGGTCAGGCGAGTAAAGCGCTTAATCTATGTCTTGAGAGCATTGAGTTTAAGGGATCGGAACAACACGTCGAAGCGGAGAGAGTTCTCCTCGTCTGCGGTAAGTGTTTATTATAGGCTTTAATTAATTAGATTATTAAATGATGTGTATAAATACAGGTCAAAAGCGAATCGCTTTTCTCAATGAAATTCAAAAACTTCGAGTGAGTGAATCGAGTGAAAACACTTTGGAAAAGGAGTCGACCAAAGGTTCCCTCACTCTCACCAATCTTAGAGTCCCTTTTAAGAGCGGTTTTATGGCGGAGCGCGCGAAGGGTACCGGTATGTCCTCTGCCAATGAATTCAATAAACAATTAATTAAATTTAATTCTCAATCAGTTCCAGAAGTTCATAATTATATATGTCTTGTGTCCAATGGAGCCAATGTTTATTACACAAAAGTATTGACTACTGAACAATATGGTGCATTAGAGTTCAAGTTCGACAAATGTCGTTTTCCTGAACTGAACAGTGATTTTTCACTCGTTGTCCACATCTATGACTTGATTACAATGAAGACACAGATCAAGAAGACCCCGAAGAAGCATAAGTCGACACCAAAGTCGCCGAGTGTTCGCAGTCCCGGCGGACCCAACGCTGTGCTCAGCACTAGTTTCCAATTGAACGGCAGTTTCAATATTAATCTTTCCAATTATTATAAGGAATCAGAATTAAAATTAGAAAACTTTTCGATCAATTCTCCGCTCGAAGGCAGCATTTATATGAAGACTGAACTAACGGTTGAACACAACTACTATAAGGAGGGCTTTTTCAATGTTCGCAACGCCTCTCCCTTTTGGAACCTTCGATGGGTTGTTCTTAAAGGCCATCGATTGGAGTTCTGGCGATCCCCCGAAGACGTGGCCTCCAAGTCAGCGCTCGGCTCTATAAATCTCAAGGAATGTATTAATCCGATTGTAGGAGTCGTTCAGCAGATGTCAATGCGTCCCAACTCTATCGCACTGATAACCGTTGCGAACGCTTCCAAAGGCGAATCCATTCCTTCAAACGATCTCATAAAGTGAGTGTTTTTGCCTTTAAATTATTTAACGTTTCTTTTAATGAATTGTTTTCTTTAATGATTTGCAGACATTTGATGAACGCTGAGAACAAGGAGGAGAGCCAAGAGTGGGCACAATATATCAGCCGCGCTCTCAATGAGATCCGTATTTGGAACTTAGATACAGTAAAACCCTATCGTATCGAAGAGTTTGAAAAACTTCTCATTGCTTTGGATTAAATTTTTATATCTTTTTATATCATTTTATTTGTTTTTAATGTCGTATTTACATAACATTTCACAATTTATATTTATTGGATATTTTTATTTCAATTTATTTTATATAAAGAAATTTATAAATATTGTATTTCAAACTTATATTTTTCAATCGTTATACAAATTCAATCAAAAGTCCCAAATAAAAAGTTTTTATTTATAAGTTTTAAAATTTTACTGTAAATTGTTTACTTAATGTACAGAAAGTCAATTTAATTGATGAAATGTGCAATAATTTGGTGCGACAAAAGTTATTTTAGAAAATTTTTTCATAAATTAAAAATTAAAAGAAATGATACAATTAAGTGTCCAATTGATGCCATTTGTGTTGCAAAAACAGCCAAAACGAATCCATTAAATGCAAGAAATGTTTAGTTAACAATGGATTTGTGTTCAATCCGTAAGATTTTATGTAATAGTATCTCAAATGAGAGAATTGACAGCAAAAGATCACGTTTAATGTCGTTTACCAAAAGCTTAATTTCGTTGTGACTAAGAATTTGGCGACAAATACTTCACTCAAGTCTAGTATTCAACGAATGACTGAAACTTCAATGGATTGCAAAGTAAGTTAAATTTAATGGAAACTTTTGATAAACTTATAAATAATCATAAATTCAATCTCTAAATAGACTTCAATCGACACAACAGATCGTCCAAAATGTTCAGCACTTGAATCGTTGCGTTTGACACAAAACCTATCAAATAATTCAAACTATGATTTAAAATCATTGATTCAATTAAAAGTTTAATAATAGTCTAAATAATACACACCTTTGCTATGGTTATAGTCTTATAGCCAATGAAATGACTTCAATAGAGAATAAATTTCCTAAACTTTAACTCAAAAAAGTTAACAAAAAGTCAAACAAGAGTTTCTGATCGATCAGAACGACGAGAACCACTGATTAGTGTCTTTCGACTCTTTAATTCAAATCGTTTTTATTTCAGTTTTTATTCAATCATTTCTTCGAGTTTTATATTTTAACAAAACGACATTTTCTTAATTGAATTTTAGTTTTAATTTTATTTGATATACAATTATTCACAACAAATTTTAAGCCAAACAATGGACTCAATGTCGAAAACGCAAGACTTGGTGTCGGCCACCAGTATTGGAGATTATTCAGCTGTGGATCGCATTTTGAGCAACAATTTAGAGTGAGTTTCACTAAATAATAAGTATATGTAAAATACAGAATACGTGTGTATTGTTAGAGATGTGAATGCGGTCAACAAGTCTGGTTGGACTGCACTGATGTATGCGGCAAACTATGGCCACTTCAATATCATTAGGCTTTTGGTGCGACACAACGTTAACGTCAACTTTCAGGACTCGATCGGCAGAACTGCGCTAATGATGGCCGCATGCAATGGTCACACGCGATGTATCGATGCCCTCATTAACTACGGCAACGCCGACAAGGAATTGGCTGACGTGAGCGGCGCCAACGCTCTGATCTATGCCGTAAACAATGGTCACGGAAGCAATAAACTGATCAAAAGTCTGCTCACGGATGGAAACCTCAGCCCTTTGACCACTTATGAGGGCCAACAAGTAAGGGGACGCTCTCAGGCACAGCAGTCGCGCACCAGAATGCAAGAGATGGCTTCGGCCGCCATATCATCGGCCAATTCTGTGGTCCGTGAGAGCAAAGATCACATCTTTAATCCATACGAAAAGACTCCCTTCTCTAACGCCAACTGGCCGTCAGTCGAATCAGTCGAAAGCAATTTGAATCCAAAAGCCGAGCAATTTGTGCCGTCAAACGCGTGGTCGCGATCGACAACCAGTGGCTCCAGTAGTATGTCGTCGACGGTGTCGTCTACGCGCTCATCGGGTCAGTCCATGTCGTCAGTGATCTCTCCGCCGCCAAACTTCAAACGCAAACTGATTGGCAAAAGACATAACACGACACGAAAGGCACAGAAATCACCTCTGGTTAAGATATCGGCTCCGATTCCCAAAACGTTATTCCATGCGTTGACTCGCATTGATTTGATTCAATACTTGGATGTGTTTGAAAACAATGGCATCGATTTCAAGCAATTCCTCACATTAACCGATACTGACTTTGAGAGTCTGGGAATTCAATGCTACGGACACCGCAAGAAGTTGGCGATCGCTCAGCAAAGATATCACGAGTCGTTAGATATTAATTCAACAAATGAAACATTTTTGGCCGACTTTTTGCTCAATGAAAGAGTGGTTCTCAACGAAAAGATTCAGAACTTAGAAGAAAAGCTCAAAGAACTGGAGAATCAGTGAAATTATAAATTCTTGATTATTTATTCAATTCATACAATACATTATCATTCAATACATAGGAAACGTGGGATCTATTTCCTTAACCCACGCCTCCAGACCTCCTGTTATGTCTTTTATTAGTATTTTATCATTAGTTGTTATTTTAGATTTTAATAGTTTGACCGCCTTTTGAGAGGCGTTACCTCTTCTACACATGAATATCACGTTTACTTTGTTTTTATTTCTATTCATCTCTTTATCGATGAGATCCTCTAAAATCTCAAATCCATTGCCTTTTTGTAGATCTTCTAACGGAATGCTTAACGCGTTTTCCAATTTAGTGATCTCTGCCTGAAGTTTAGGTCTCACGTCAATCAATAAATGATCAATTTTTGCATTCAAATAATTTATTTCGTATTCTTTGCAACTCATCCTCTCTTCGGGCGCAAGTATTTTGAGTGATTGGCTTTGATTGCATTGAACGCCACAAAACTCTTCGTAATCCATGAGTTCCTGACCGATGGTTGCGTTTGGGCCGCAACTGATACAGTCGGCGCTCTTTCCCCGAAGTTTAATGCTTTTGAACGAACCGTTGAGTCCGTCGAAGAGCAACAGTTGTCCCGCATATGAAGGCCTTCGTCCGATCGCTATCTTAATTGTCTCCAACGCCTGCATATCACCGATAATACCGGGAATGACACCAATCACTCCGCCATCGTTACAGTTGGTGACGGTTCCGGCCGGCGGTGGCGTTGGAAACAGACATCGATAGCACGGAGTATTGGAGTCATAGTTGTAAACAGTCAACTGTCCATCAAATCTGAGAGCAGATCCCGACACCAATGGCTTCTTATTGAGGACACAAACGTCGCTCAATAGATATCTGGCCATTGGATTGTCTGTTCCGTCGATTATTATGTCATACTTTGAGATAATATCTGAAGCGTTGGTCCGATTGAGTCGACACTCTATGGGCTCTAATATAACGTTTGAATTAATGCTTTTCAATGACTCGACCGCCGAATCGGTCTTCAATTTGCCGACTCGTGTCTCGTTGTGGAGGACTTGTCGGTGAAGATTACTCCTATCGACGACATCGTTGTCCACTAAACCGATTCGTCCGATTCCGGCGGCTGTCAGGTATAGACTGGCCGGACATCCGAGTCCTCCACAGCCGACTATGAGAACCGAAGTGGCCTTAAGAGCCAATTGACCGCTTTTGCCCACTTCTTGGCACAGCATTTGGCGACTATATCGCGACACCTCATCCGCTGATAACGACATCCTCGACGACAGTCTTCGGCCGCAAAACAGATGTCCTTTAGGTTTGAAAACTAAACGAAAGCTAAGAATCGGTTTGAAGACAGAGTTCATTGAAATTCAATGACAAATCAAAAGCGAAGTAAACATTAAATGAAAGTTTTGTTTGCGTTTATAAACAAAACTTTTTTGTTTACATTTCAATGAATTTTCTCACAAAACATGTGACACTCGTTGACAACAAGTTTTGTCTCACATTTCATTCATTGAATCGTGAATTAGAGAAATATATTGTTTGAAAACTCATTTACAAAAAACAATTAAAGTGTGAAATAATTACCCGAAAAAGCAGTGCTTTTTGAGTGGAAATGCAAAACAAAACCAAAAACTAATGAACAAAACATGTGTTGAAAATTACAACACAAACCACACAACAGTCTAACCGTACAAATAATTTCATACAAATAATACAGGTTTCCCGTCCATTGGCTACACGTGTTGGGACCCAACCATGTGTTGGATAATGAGTTTGAATGAATACCTGTAAATACCTGTAATAGTGTCTGACATATAGTGTACGGCAAAGAGTGCAGTGATTATAGGGATTGGAGTTCACTATTGAGTCTATGGTATAGTCTTTGGTATAGTTTTCACTTCAAAACGAGTTATTGTTTATTATTATTACTCATCGAAAGTGTGACTCAAAATAGCACTCAATTTGAGGACTAATTGTGAGTAAAAATATAAACCATTTGTTGTTTTCATTTCATTATTGCATTTGATTTACAATTAATGCCACAAATTATTAATCATTTAAATGACAAAAAGTAATGCCATTTGAATGAAACGATTGTGTATTTGATTTGATTATTCAATCATTGAATACACCATAAGATTGTGGTGAAGAGAGAGGGCGTTGAGAGTGTGTTTGGTTTAATCATTTAAATGACAAAAAGTAATGCCATTTGAATGAAACGATTGTGTATTTGATTTGATTATTCAATCATTGAATACACCATAAGATTGTGGTGAAGAGAGAGGGCGTTGAGAGTGTGTTTGGCATCAATTGTGGGATCAATTGAGTGGTGATGTCTGAGTTGGTGTCGACAACGCCGAGAGTGGCGTCAGATGTGGTGAACTACTCGGTGTCGGCGCCGCTCATCATTCCTGTCGTCTTCTTTGGCGTCATTTTAATGGCTATAATCCTATCGATTGTGAAACTCTTGGAGAGACTCTGGAATCGGAAGCGAAAGTCTGACACATATTTCTTCGTTGAGGCCAACGAAGAGGAGGCCAGACATCAAACGCTTCACTACCAGATCGATGACCAAATCGATGGTAAACTCATTCCTTTGACGATTCGCAGGACTACTGACCAAATATATGACAACAGAGAAGTGCTCGAAGACTCCAATGGATCTCATGTCAAAGTGGAGGCTAATGTCCACCAAAACAGCAATCATTTGTTTGATGACAATCCCCTCCACAACAGAAATGCCACCGAATCTGATGTCTAATTGTTGCATATTTTTGTCACTCATTTCCATTCATTCATTACATTTGCCATTCATTTACATTATGTTTAGATTTTTATATGATTTATAAAACATTTAATTCATCGATTGTTTATCTCATTTGTAAAAATAATCACATAAACCAAAACCAAAAGTAAAAATACAAATTGAAACAAAAACTGCGGTTTTTTGTCATAAAGGCCAGATAGAAACTTTGATTGTTTACTAAATAACTAAAAACACAAAGTTTTTTGTTCCTAAACAATAATATTTCACCATATTTTCCACATTATTTGATAATTAGTGTAATTATACCTCAAAATTGTTTGTTTGATATGTTTTCGGCAGCTTTTCTCACGTTTCAATGAATTATTACTTATTTTTGCACTATTTTTATAATTAGAATATTTATATAACTTTTAGCATTTATATAGTATTAGATTTGAATGATTAGATAATTGATATATTTATATACAAATCATAACAAATGTTCTTCCATTTGAAGCCATAATCTGAGACTGAATTGAATTTCATATACAAAATATTTTGTTAACAAATTTTTATATTGTTTTTATATAACAAACATTTGATATCAAATATGAAATCATTTATATTTTTGACACTAACCTTAACACAAATATGTGCTTAAAATTTATTACAAATCTTTATTTATTGAATAAAAGTTACCAAATGTTTAATTTTAAACTAATAGTAAACTTATATCCGAAGTGTTTGCCTCTAATTCTGATCCAAATATGTTTAAACTTGTTTAGGTATTAAGAGATGTTGGAACAGTTGAGAGACAAACTGCAAACCGTTCAAAACGATTTGACCACAAGGTATACACCATTTGTTCACTCCATGTAGTTATCAATTTTTTGGTCATTACGTATAGCATCAGAGGATTGACTCAACCAATCAGTCCCGAGGCTAAAGACGAGGTCAGAACTAAACTGGGTTTCCATAGAAATGTCCACAAATCTAGAGTCAATTTGAACGCCGGATCAGAACTGCTTCAGAGATATCAGACTCAATGGCAACGAATGCATGAAATGAACGAATCAAATGTCAAGTCTGCCGAAGAGATCTCCGCAGCCATTCATTTGGTAGACTCGGCCGTCAAGAAACAGGACTCGTTAATGAATGAACTATTGACTCAATTGTCTGCTTTACCACAACTCATGGAATCGATGGAATCAATCGAAAAGGATTTGATTCGATGTAAGAATGACTTCTTGAAAGTGGAAAACATGTTAACAGATTTGGAGGACGAGAAAGAATTGGACGAAATGGAGGCTTTGAAAATCGATCAACACTTGAAGATTGAAGTCTATAAAGACAGCAAATCATCGCAATTGGAAGCGTTGAGAGTGAAACTGGCGGTCGAACACACCGATAGAGTCCACACTTTTGAAAGACAACAGCAAAATATACTGAAGGAAAGACAGGAAGCGTTTCAAATGGTGTTCGAAGAAGAGCTCAATCGATATAAAACTCACGGAAGAATTGAACCCAAAGTACAAACCATTTCACACCAAAGAATTCCTTCCATCGATGAGATTGAGATCGAGACCGAAAAGTCAGACGAAGCGGCTCTCGAAGAATTCCTTCAGAGCTAACCATTGACTCCATTCCCAAAATTGCCTTATTTTTGACAAGAGATTAAAAATGTTGAGATTAATTGTTTGAGAAAATTTATATTTATATATTGAATAAAATATTTTAATTGTATATTAATTTGAGACTATTATTTAAGTAAAATGTTTTATTCATTTCGGATCCACAATAGGATGGCTTACAATGCAATTCAAAAGTCTGTTTTCGAAAACAAAGTTAAGAATTTTCTTAATTATTAGATATAAAATCAAATAAACGGAAATGTATTGAATGAAAGCCCATTTCATTAGATACCAGAAGCCGGGCTTATAATAAAACATTTGTTCACAATATAAAAGCGTTGCTTTGATTTCAAATTGTGTTGAATTCTCTTTTCTTGAATACCAGTTGTAGTGAGTATTGGAGTCGAGAGAAGTGGAGACTAAATGATTGAATTTGTTTTCAATTAGAGCTTAAGTTTTAATTATAATCAATAGAGACTCACAGTTGCGTCTAATATATGACTCCAACATGTCTTCGATGAAGAACTCTTGCGAACCAATTATATTCTCATTGAGTCCGATGTGATGTTTGCGATAAACCAAAGGCTCCTTTTGGTTCAGTTTTAAGTTCCCAATCACTCGAAGCCCTCTTCCAGTCGTCGGCGACTCGTATTTCATATGAGTTATGCTTTCCATTTGAAGGTATATTTTGGACTGATTTTCACAAATTTTAATAAAAAATCATATATTTTTTCAGTGAATCAAAACTTACGTGAAGTCTATAATCAAAGAATAGGATTAGTTGAGCGCCGATCACCTGGTCTTTGGGATCGATGGCGACATTCAAATCGATATTTAATTCATCATATTTTCCGTCACCATTTGTATCGATCTCTCGGTTCTAAGCATTTAATTATATTTTGATTACATTTTTTTCTTCGCCGAAACATAAGTAATATAATTACAGTGATATACGGAAGGGATAACTGATCGGAACGGAAGGCTGTATTCAAATTAGGATAAGTACTCCAGAACTTGAAAGCGGGCACAGAATCCCTGAGTTGTAGCATAAGAATGAGATTGTGTTTGAAATTGATGTCCGGCTGCTCTCTATAAAACTCAATTTTCCTCCAAAATCCATCACTTCTATAGACTATGAAAAGCGGTAGAAAAAGATTAGAGAAATCCAAAGGCTCCTTTTGGTTCAGTTTTAAGTTCCCAATCACTCGAAGCCCTCTTCCAGTCGTCGGCGACTCGTATTTCATATGAGTTATGCTTTCCATTTGAAGGTATATTTTGGACTGATTTTCACACATTTTAATAAAAAATCATATATTTTTTCAGTGAATCAAAACTTACGTGAAGTCTATAATCAAAGAATAGGATTAGTTGAGCGCCGATCACCTGATCTTTGGGATCGATGGCGACATTCAAATCAATATTTAATTCATCATATTTTCCGTCACCATTTGTATCGATCTCTCGGTTCTAATCATTTAATTATATTTTGATTACATTTTTTCTTCGCCAAAACATAAGTAATATAATTACAGTAATATACGGAAGGGATAACTGATCGGAACGGAAGGCTGTATTCAAATTAGGATAAGTACTCCAGAACTTGAAAGCGGGCACAGAATCGCGGAGTTGTAGCATAAGAATGAGATTGTGTTTGAAATTGATGTCCGGCTGCTCTCTATAAAACTCAATTTTCCTCCAAAATCCATCACTTCTATAGACTATGAAAAGCGGTAGAAAAAGATTAGAGAAAATACACAGACAGTAGAATAGTGTCGATTCCGATAACAGTTTGGTTTTATATGTAATTTTAATTGATTGCGAATATATTGAATAAAAAGCCATTTTTATCGCAAAATCAATTTAATTGTATTTGTATTGAGAATAAAGAAAAACTTCGATTCCATAGAAACTGGTGCTATAGTAGAGGAGAAGCGACGCTATTATGCATGGAGTGAATCGCCTCCCAGTCTGTCAAACAAATGCAATCATTTATTATATGAATTCATGTGCTCTTCATATACACATGAATTAACAACTTATAGCGGTTTGTGTTAACAAGTATTGTATCCATGCGTTGGACACAAAGTGCTATAATTGGGAAACCGGTATAAGTTTTCGTTAATTACCTTTAATTATAGGGTTTTAGTCATTGGGAAATTGAATCGACCAATAATTATGAATGAATGCATTGTTTTCTCTTACAATACATTGAATTCTAAGTTTTGATATATTATACCAGTAGTGATGGCCTATATTTATGTCATGATTGATATTCCATTGGTATTGAAAGCATGAATCAGTGATTACTCTAATTATTGTATATAATAGTTAAGAAAATTAATTACAAATTTATATATAAAAATTCAAACTTTTATTAATTTATATAAATCTTTGTTCATTGATTTAAAAACATTTCAAATTTAAAATAAACTGTTTATAAACTAAGTAAAAATTCTAATAAAAAAGTGTATAAAAATTGAAATTAAATTAAAAATTTGTATAGAAATTAAGTCAAAGAATCCAAAACCGCACCCAATGTTCACAATTATATTACAATTGAATTTACAAAATGTCATAATTTGTGATTCAGTCAAATGTTAAGAAATCAAATGCAAAACACATTCAACAAAAAGGGAGATTCAAAACGGTGTAAATAATGTACAAAAATGTCTTTAAGGGCTAATTACAGATCAAGTGAATGGAAGGCTTTATCTAAAGTATATTTATCGTGTCTTCAGTTAAATGACAACAAATTTAAAACAATTATAGATTAGATTTATATTAAATAAAGTAATTATAAAAACAACGATCAGATTAGGCGTGAGATTCAAAGTCCCGCTGAATATTGGACAGTAGGGACACTGATAACTGGCGCACACGTGACATACGCTTAAATAGTAGAGATTCTGGGTATTGAACATCGTTTCGTTAAAACGCTCTG